GTTTTTGTAGATTCCTCTACAGTAAAACAAAAAAGATTTATAACTTTTAAAAGAAACAGCAAGGATCCAAATCCGTTTAGGTTTTTTTATCAGAACACTCTCCTCTATCGATAGATATGACTCATTTATCGTTTCGGTTCAGTTGGATGCTCATCTAAAGTTGTTCTATAGGTGTAATATTTAAGAAGCATTATTCGGTAGATTCCGACAGACAGTGATTCTTAATGTCACAGATTTAAATGACATTCACACCATTATAGGTCTATATGTAAATAGATAATGGATATAAATAGTGTCACTTAATACTGCTTCGTTCTCGAGATATATTCTTTTTCCTAAGATATTTCTCGAAAGCAGACTTTCTAGAAAACCTAAAACCGTAAAGACTCCTTAGTAACATTTTTTCGATCTGATCAGATTGTAGCCCGTAAAATTCTGATCAAAATCCGACGTCTTTCAGCTTTGTACGTGGTTTTTCCAACGAGATACACGTTTCACAAAATTTATACGACTCTATTCTCTTAAAGTTCGTGCTGTAAAATAACGACTCAACGGATAAATTCAAAGCAATAACTCATTTGGTCGAAAATTTAACGGCCTACAAGATAGGCTATCTTATAATCTGTCTGTACCTCGTCAAGAAATTCAAAAAACATCCCCGTTTAGGAAATTTTGACAAAAGTATTCAAGTAATTAACTTTTTTCTCATCCAAATTATGTCAGTAAGCCGAAAAAACTTCAGGATATATACTTCGAAGTGTCCTCTACCAACTGCCAGAGTTTAAGCAAAAACTTAAAAGGGAGACCTCGTTGAGCAAAAAGTATAGGTTTCTGTAAGAATTTTGTGAAACTCGTATCTCGTTGAAAAAACCGCGTACAAAGCTGAAAGACGTCGGATTTTGATCAGAATTTTACGGGCCACAATCTGATCAGATCGAAAAATGTTCCTAAGGAGTCTTTACGGTTTTAGGTTTTCTGGAAAGTCTGCTTTCAAGACATATCTTAGGAAAAAGAACATATCTCGAGAACGAAGCAGTATTAAATGACACTATTTATATCCATTATCTATTTACATATAGATCTACAACTGAGGTGGATCAGAGTCGTACCAGAATTTTGGTAAGGTATGGACATCTAGAAAAAATTTCATCTGTACTAGTCTGAATTTCCATTTAAAATTTCAGTCTTCGAATATTATTAATCAGATACACACTGTAGTGAAATTCCAAGGAGTGGGCGCATGCTTTATTTACCTATCTCTTGGTTATGGTCCGGGTGTGAATGTCATTTAAATCTGCGACATTAACAATCACTGTCTATCGGAATCTACCGGATAATGCCTCTTAATTTATTATCAAACATTGTAGTGATGTTTGCCTTCCAGCTTATTTAATTTTACAATCTATTTTTTATCTATATGTAGAAAATTGCATCGACATAAACATTCTACGATTAAAAGTGGATATTTGATTGTAATTGAACTACTAATAAGTCTGTTATTTTATTATTGTTAGATCTAATAAACTTCCCTTCGTCCAAATGTTTAGAAATCGTTTGTGAAATATCTGATAAAATATTTTAATTCTTGGTATTTTTCAGTCTTCGTTAAAACGTTTTCACACCAAGAGACGTTAGTCTGTCTATAAAAAGTGCACAACATCTCTGATAAGCAGCTGTCACCTAGTATCTCTTTGTATATTGTAGGTAAAATTTTTGAAAAATGTTACATAAACACGTTTTAAAATGATCTGTTATGAGTGTGTTTTTAGACATTTAGCTACAACTGAGACGCTCATATTTTCTCATACAAAAATATATCAGTCTATTACCGATTTTGAATAATGATTATTATGTGGTAATGTATATGTTGAAGAGATAGTTAATATTTTTACATATAAAAGATTAATATACAGACGGTTCAAATTCTTGATGTTGAGTGAAGTTAATGCAGTTGAACTATAAATTCAACGTCAATATATTTTGTAAAGATTTTTATTAGACTGTAATATTTTGAATAAATTTATTTTAGTAAAAAAAAATAATATTCTCAAATACAAAAATATGCGTTTGATAATCATTTGCTTTTCTCTAGAGTATTCTCAAATAGACAAAAAGCGAAAGAAAATATTTTATGAATCGTCTCACTTGTATGTTAAATAATGATATTCAAATGATTTTTTGATCGATTTGTTACCTAATCTTGCGAAATAAACTATTCTTCATTTTTGTCTCCATATTTTTTCATTCATGAATAATTTTTATCTTACATTAGAAAGACGGAGAATGTGATCCTGAAAGTAGTACGAGATCATTTAATCACACATCACTGTACTAAAGAACTTTTAAAGCCGTTCTAATACACTATTATATGAATAATAATTATCTTACAAAAGAAAATGATAGTTTTTGAAAATACATGTTTATTTTCTGAGATCCTTCATTAATAAATAAATAGATAACAAAAAAAAAAATAACAACAACTACGAATGTATCATATACAACACATTTAGAGAATCAAATGACCAATTGAAATGCATTGTTTAGTTGCCTAAAAAAAAAACATTTGATATAACTAAACACTTAAATATTTTATTGTTCCATATAATTTTCTAGAATAATTTTGTGAAAATAAAAAAAGGTCGCCTATATCACTAAGACATAACGTACACATGCACACAAATTGATTACAGTGTCAATATAAAATGACCATAGACAAACAGAATACGGTATCTGTTTAATAGAACTTTTTTCTATTGAAGACGTTTGACTGAAAACTTCTGGAAAAGTTAGATTCATATAATTCTCTGCTCTTCATAATATTTATATATTAAAATTAAGTTGATTTTTAGAGAATCTTAATAAAGTTGTTTATTACAATATAGAATTAGTTTATTAGACATGAGAAACAAGAGGTAGAAATTACAGCATGCAAAGATCTAATCTCATGAGGTTGATTCCTTTTTCTTCATTATAAAATAAAATTTGAAAAATACTCCAAAATGTTGACTATTTTCTTCATATTTTCCATCTAGCTATTCACTTTTATATTTTATAATAAAATAGACTATACGATTCTTTCAACCATCTGTTTGCTCTTACTTATTTACATATCAGACTTATGCATTTAATAATTACTTTAGTTTTAGTGCTAGTTGATATGTCTCTTTATTCTAAAACACTATTATAGAAACGCAGTTCATATATTATTTTCTTTCATTTTTTTTTCTCTATTTGACAAAAGACGATGTTTTAAAACCTTTTGTCATAATTATTCGCTCGAATATGTAGAATATAAATATAAGAAGAATATGATTAATGGTGACATTATGAACAATTTATTTAACAATGTGTGAAAAAAAGTCACAAAATTATCTATTTTTAAATGAGTTATTATCATTTAGTGAAATTTTTTTTGTCAAAATTGACTGACTAAACACATTTTTTTTTTCTTGCAGAAATTTTTATGTAAGATCTAATAAAATAGATCTTATGCAAATTATGTATACAATGAACATTACAAATTATAATAGTACAAAAACTTTGTATGATCCATTACCGAGTTATGAACAAACAATTATTCTTATTATCTATTGTTTCATTTTTGTATTAGGCCTTATAGGTATGTGATGATTCTCTTTCTCAAATCCTAAACATATTTTAGTGAAATTTTTTAATTGAAGGAAATTCTCTTGTATTATATATTGCTATTCGCAATAAAACATTTCATAATGTCACAAATTGTTATATTACAAATTTAGCTATTACCGATCTTCTATTTTTGTTACTATCTGTTCCATTGACAACATATTTGGGATTACGAGAAACTTGGCCATTTGGACATATTTTATGCAAAATACACATTTATTTAGCCCATGTAAGTATAAATAAGAGGCGAATTTTAAGTGAAAAACATAAAGATTGATATTATTCATATATATATATAGGTGTTTCTACAAGCAACATGTTTCACATTGGCCGTAATGAGTATCGATCGTTATTTGTACATTGTTCAAGTTAGAGCAAAATTAGAATGGCGAACAACTCGAAATACGTTTGTTATATGTTTTCTTATATGGGCAGGTAAGTTATTGTTTATTCTATTATATTATAGTAGCTTAGAGCGTAAATTGGATTTTTATTAAGCATCATTATTGTTCATTCTCCCTTACGATAAACTAGTCCATGCATCTGTCAGAAATGTTAAAAATACAAGAAATTGTGGCGTCGATTTACACCGGCCTATCGCCTCTTGTCTGATCACATTATGCTCTTATTATGCTGTACCATTAGCAGTTATAATTATTTGTTACTCAAAACTCATGTATTATTTAATTAGAAATTCAAAATCGATCTCAAAACAGCAAACGGTAAGATAAACAAAATTGATGGGACATTGATGACATTGGTTTTATAGAGAGAATCATGTCTAAAGTTAAGTATAGTGTGTCTTTGTCAAGTAAAAAGGATGCATTTATTAGACGTTGCATAATAATTCTAGTATTTTTCAAGATCGTTAATTGTCAATGAAATTAACTGAACGTTGATTTAGATGATCTATAAAGAAAGAGAAAACTCTAAGGAATAATATACTATGTATTTTCAGGCTTCTTTTCATCAAAGTGTTCGAACAAAACAAAAACGTGTAACAAAAATGGTTGTCATTGTGACACTGGTATTTGCTATCTGTTGGTTGCCAATACAGACACTGGAGTTACTTAATTGTACAAAATCACCATTGTTACGAACATTTTCCTATCGTCATCCAAAACTATTAAATCGAATTCGTATCGTTTCTCATGCATTATCCTATTTTAATTCATGTCTAAATCCATATTTATACGCATTATTGAATCGAAATTTTTGTGCCGATGCCATCAATGTAATATTAAAATTATGTCAGTGTATTCCAAGCATCAACAATTCACTATCAACAACTTCCTGCAAACAACGGATCATGGAAAATGTTATTTCGCGTCATACACATGAGCTACATAAAGGTCCAAGAATTGAGAATGATATCGTTCATCAAGAGATGGTAAATCTTAAAGATTCATACAATGCTGGTTATCAAATTGAAATAATGATGGAAGAGCCTACTGTTAATGTTAGTGATCATTTATCGGCTAACAATACAAATAATTTATAAACAGTAAAAAGGGAAAAAACTGGATACGAAAATAAGCTATTCAATATCTACCTTTATCTAACAACTTTCGGAAAGTTGTTACATAATAAAAATAATAAGTGAACTTTATATACGTCGCCGATTAACAACGAAAAAGAATTTAGATGAGAAGATTAAACTATCACAAAAAAAAACAGTTTTAATTCTGCTAAGAATATTGTTCGATTCTAAGTTATCAAAGTATTTTGCCAATAAGTTCATTAGAACTCTTAAAAAAAAACAATAGATGATACTGAGTTAAATATTTTGTTTATTGGTCAAAGATGAATTAGTAGATCGGACAACAATTTAACTTAGTGATCGAATGAATGACTTAATAAACAATTGAATTTATAACTAACTATATGATTTTGATGTTTATACCTTGTAAACGGTTCAGTCCCGATTCGTCGACAAATTAAAGCCAATTAAGAGATTTTACTGTTTCGTCGATGCAATCTTTTTTTCATTTCGTCGACACTTTAAAATTTCTATTTGGTAGACAAAATTTTATTCCTGTTTTGTCAACAATTTTTTTATCCTAAAACGTCAACCAAAGCTGACAGTGTATAAAAGTAATTTTCTAAACGTCGACACAATTTTCTTCTAGCAGAATTTATAAACGGAACAGTGCACTGACGAGGGAACCATCTGAGGTGATACCTCCCATTTTCATTCATTCATATCTCATTTAGTTGAGTATATTGAGATAGTAAAAACCCTAAAGGGGATTTTCCCCAATCTCATTCCTTCAAAAGTTATCGACGTTTTCCTATTTTTACCCTTATACAAGATGAAAAATTTTTTAAATGACAAATT